AACTCCCTTCCCTATTCCAGTTTCCCTGATAGGTATAATCTCCAACTATTCAAATGTAATGTCAATTGACATCTCCAGTTGCCTTGATCTATCCACTATCCTTCTCCTCATCCTTTCCTCTATCATTCCTATCTGCTCTCGTTCCAAATCCTCTGAGACCCCTTGCATGCTAGTGACTTCCCGCTTTGCTTGCCATTATGTTCCCATTTATCTCTAAAACTTCGTCCATGGTATTCTCGGCATCTTTCTATATAACCATATTTGTTTTTTTCTTCAAGTCTCTCTGTTATCTGTAAGAAGATTGTCCAGAGTTCATTGCCATATAGGAGAAGATGTCAGTACTCTTTTCTTTCTTAAAACATTGCTTGGGGTACTTTCGTGATCCTGGTACGCCTTTGGAGTTCATTGCGCAGGTAGATGTTTTAAAATTAAATCGTCATTCGCATGCCATGATTGGAGAAGTTCGTTCTTATATATACCAATTCCTAAACGAACTGAACTCTCAAGGTGTAAAAGCTTCACTGTGATCAGTTAGGCTTCGAAGGGTCTTAGTCGTTTGCGCTACCTCACGTCGCATAAATATTTTAAAAATCCATCGACAAAATCTATTTCGAAAGATTTGGAGCATAAAAAACGACTTCATTCGCTTTAAAATTATATATTAAATCATGGGGTTTTGCCTTAAAAATGTTACCTTCCTTATATTTTCAAGCTAAATCAAAGTTTTCGTTATTAAAGTCTTTGCCCACCTCAAAATTTCCTGTTTTTAGTTTTTCAAGTTTTTAGCACTAAAACCATCGATTAATTTAATATACTAACATTTTGGGTACTTCGCCCTTCGGAATTCGTTTAGATTAATTCAAACTTTAATATTTACTGAAGTGGCTCAAACTTTTTTGGTTTGGTTTGGTTTATTTTTACGGCATATCAACCTCAATAGATTATTTAATGCCGACAAAATATTAATTGCTGATAATATATTTTTTCTTAAAATGTATTTCTGATAATATTTTTCCTTCAAAAAATCTATTTCTTGTAATATTTTTCCTTCAAAAAATCTATTTCTGGTAATATTTTTCCTTAAAAAAATCTATTTCTGGTAATATTTTTTCCTTCAGAAAAATCCATTTCTGGTAATATTTTTTCTTCAAAAGATATTTAGCTAGTAATATTTTCCTCAAAATGTATTGCTGGTAATAATCTCTTCAAAAATTCATTGTTGGCAATAATTCTTTACAAAGTGTTTCTGGTATTAAAACCTATTTTTAAACTTTCACAGTGTTTTGACCCGAGATTGGGGGTTAACTATTTGCCTATAGCTGGGACCCTAACAGGTGCTACCACTCCGGGTCAGGGTGGATCTGAGAATACCAGTAATTAAGAAGTGGTTCGACGCTCCTCAAAACCTCCTGATCAGAGGCCTTACTGTTGGACATAGTTTATCTTCTTACCCAAAACGCGGATGTAGTTTATCGTCATACCCAGGACGAAGTGGATCAAAGGAGCAGGACGTTTTCTTCAACTGTAACGGATATTCTTCTAAATGCTCATTCGCAGGTGAGCCATAGACATGCGAAAAAGTAACTCCCAATTATGGACAAGTGAAAGTTTAATAGCGTAAATGCATTTTAGTTATTAATGCCGGCAAAACATTTAGAATTAATGTAAACAGAAAAGACTCAAATATTGTGACAAAGGTCGAACCGTTTGACCTTTACTCCGCCATGACACGCTTTCATAATTCCTCTTCCTTGGCTAATAAAATGATTAAAAGATGACATTTTGCAAAAGTCGGTCCCAGTGCAGATCTGCATAAGTCCAATATATAAATAACTCATGTGAACTAAATTTAGTTTGTTTTCGGGAAAAATATAAAAAGAATTCACATCCTCGGGTAAAAATCTTTCAGAAGTGTAATCCATATCGATTTTGATATCGATTTTATCGATTTCATCATCGTCCTAAGCATTGGAGACATGTTTCTTATTGCCTCCATTACGTATTATACTAGGAGTCATGGATTCTCTGGAGTTTTCCAAGTATTGCATACATGGAGTTGTTTTCTGAATCCAACTTCCAATGGATTCGTTTCCCAATATTAAAAAGGCAAGAGAAAAAAGACGTTGAAAATTCAATTCAGTATTTACTAGTACCGAAGAACCTAGTACAAATTAACAAACAACTAATCGATAAGTTTGCCGATAAAAGAACCAGATAACAAAAATATGAACCGTGAAAACTTGTGATTCTAACGATGTCAGAGAGTGCATTCAGATATTCGAAACAATATCGAATGATGTCACAACCCATGAAAAAATAAAATTCATTATCATGCTTGTTTGGTTTGGTTTGCTTTGCTTTATTGTATATCAACCTCTATGGATTATTTAATACCGACAAGATTTTTATTGCTGATAATATTTTTGTTTCAAAAATATACTGCTGGTAATAATTATTTTCTTCAAAAACTCATTGCTTTTACAAAAACGTATTACTGGCA